TTTTTTTTTTGATCTAGTGATTTCCCACGTCAGAGAGGTTGGGTCCTAGAGAATTCCCAAATCTGGCCGGAACTATATCCCATCGCTGGTATTTCGAATTTCGAGTGTAGTGCGCATGCGCCCTGGCCTGGGGTGGGAGTAAGATGACTCGACTTACTCTCGTATATAAATATAATTATTTATTCAATAAATATAACTAATTCGACTATTTTGCGATCCTCACACGCACTGGCAATTAAATTGCAAACGACTGGTGATAATTTTAATAGTAGAAACTCTACCGTTGAGGCGAAATAATAGTTTTATTAGATTCTCGCAGGACGTACTACATTTTATTTTTTTTACAAAAAAATAATACTCTGACAATTTTTTGCATGGCAATTGCAAAACCTGCAAACGATTCCGCAATTTTTGGTATTTTTTTTTTTTTGCTGGATGCAAGTCGTTCGCATAGTTCACTGTGCTCGAGCTTTTCTCTCTCCGCACGTGTATGATTTTATATATATACGTGCGCGGCTCTCGCTGTGTTTTATACTATGACTCCTATAGGTGGATATTGTATGTGTTTTGTACGTGTATATAGTTGGGCAGATTAATTACTTGTGCATGACGATGCTACACATACGTATAGTGTAAAAAGCTCTGCCTTCCGAGAACTGGTAGCGCTTTATGGTGCGTATATATAGGCATATGTATATATATATATGGGGGCACTGCGAGGAGCTTTACGCATACTATAGCAAAAAGCTCTCGTGGGGTATATCGAGCAGCTCGATCATCTCTTTCCCTCCTCGTACCATATATGTATATGTATATATCTCATTCAGCCTCTGCTAATTAAGCAGCTGGTCGATATATAGAGGCCACGGGTGTTGTACCTATAATAATGCCTATATATGTATGACAAAGTGTTATATATGTAGCACGGCCCTGTTGCACTTCACGCGCAGTTTTGCATTAACGATTACGTGACGCATGCACATATTGCACATACATATAATATATCCATTGTTCATTGTGTGTCATGGGTACAGGTGTTGGAAGTATGTAATTTTTTTTTTTCATATATATATA